TTCAAGCACACTGAGCCTGTCGCCAAGTTCATTACCAAGGTCGAAAAGCTTCATGCACTTGTTCATGAATGGCAGCTCGTAGCGAGCAGAGAATATTCGGCTGCGTCTGTGTATGAGGAGATCACCGCATTGATCATCGGCTGGCGACGACTTGAGCTATCCACGTGGGCGAAGCTTCTGGACATCGAGAACGAAAAATGCATCCAGGATGTAGGCTCATGGTGGTTCATTGCCTATGAGGCTATCATTCGGGCCCCCATGCAAATTGCAGAGTCCGGCCAGATGGAGATGAGCGAACACGTGCAAGAGATTACTGCTACGTTGGAGCAGTTCTTTAACTCGACGACCCTGGGACAGTACAGTGAGCGTCTTCAACTTGTCCAGAATTTCCAGTCTCTGCTTTTGCTCTATGTCAAGGATATGCCGGCTTTGAAACAGCTTATCTCTGCTTTGGACAACTTCATTGTGCGCTACAAGCAATTCGAACCTATTGTGCACAAGCAGCTGGTGGAGAAGCGGGCAGCCCTCGAGAAGGATATCAAGGAGCAGATTCAGTTGGCTAGCTGGAAAGATACCAATATTGTCGCACTCAAAGAAAGCGCACGCCGCTCACACACCAAGTTGTTCAAGCTGGTCCGCAAATACCGTGAAGCCCTGGGGCAATCGGCGCAACCCATCGTGGAACAGGACATGCCGGATAATAATGATGACAGCGGAGTTACCCAAAATGATGTTGTCATAGCCTCACGCGTGTTCCCCGAAGCACTCGCAATGTGCCAGAAGGAAGGAGTCTGGACCGATAGACCCCCGCGATTCAAGAACCCCGATGCGACTGCTAGCAGCATGATGCAACTTTATACCTCGATTCCCGCCGAGTTTGACGTCGCAGAAGACCTGGACGGCTTTGTCAAGTATGTCATCGAGAGTATCCAGGAGTTCAAGTCGCGGACGCCGAAGACTCTCACTGAGGAGAATACAGAGGATGTCCAGCATCTCAAGGTCCAGAAGCGCCGTTTCTACGCGGATACCTTGCGGCGACTCATGGATATGGGAGTGAAGCGTAGCGCGAGTACCAGTTTGATCGAAACCCAAGCATCTATTGCACAGGTCCTTGCCTCCAGTCCAGCCTTGGAAGCTGACTCTGTGCTATCGCAGCTGGCTAAGAGTTCCGACTTGTACTACCATAGGTTCTTGGACTTGCTTCCTCGCGTTCGTGTGGCGGCACACAACTATGCGGAAGATCTCAGCAATGTTGAAGTTTCCAGGAGTTCGGGGTCTATCGAACACTTGTTGTTCCTCGCCCGGAAGCAGAGAGCGTCGATCTCACCAGCGCTTACCGATCTGACAGCGTTACAGTCGACACTTCTGAAGGTTTCGAATCTCTGGAATTCTGGTTGCTCTTCTATTTCCAAGGATCACCCACAGTTCCCGATTGAGAGAGTCGAGGTAACAAGGGCAGTGGCATGGCTGACGCCTGTACTTGGACTTGCCGCCACTGTTATTGGTCTGCACGCCAAGTTCTCTGGCATCGGTTCGAGAAGTATCTTAGATGGCCTGCAGACTTGGAAGGGCACATTCGATCGGTTGAAGACTTCTCTGGGTAATCTTCCTCAGCTGCCACACGGTGTCTCCTCGCAGTTGTACAGGGACACTGTCCAGGAGGCTTCTGCATCCCTTGAGCAATTGAGCAGCAACCTTACAAGATGGGCTGAAGAACGTCCTGACCTGACCTTTGTGCTTGGCCAAATAGTCCCTTGGGTGAAGGTCAACGTGATGTCTCCAGACTGTGAACTTGATGAGACCACCGTATCCCTTGAGAAATTCGATGCGGGTCTCGTTGCAGCTGTTGACAGAATCCTTGTCAGCCTCCAGAAATTGAAGGAGATTCCTTCCTCGCTTGCCAATCCTGGTTCTCTGGCGCGGAGTGACGAGTTCTTCGTCAAATCCTTGAAGGCCCTTCATATCTCTGGCATCAAATCCTCGCTTGAATCTGTTCTTGATCAATTGCAGCACATCCAGGCTGGCTCAGGTTCTGGCATTCCATTTGCGGTCGCACTTGTGACGAGCTTGCTGCCTATCATGCACAAGTACTTCCATATCAGCAAAGATGTTGTGGATCGCTACTTGGTTGTACACCGAGAGACCTGCAAAATGTCCTACATTCTCACCAAGTGCTTCACTCAAATCGCTTCCGAAGGCTTCTGTAGTCCCGCAGAAGCATCTACGGAGGAGAGCAAATCCGGCAAGCTCGAGAGCGGCACTGGTCTGGGAGAGGGTGAGGGTGCTGAAGACATCAGCAAAGATGTTGGAGATGACGAGGATCTGTCGGAGCTTGCTCAGGAGCAAAAGGGCGAGTCCACCGAGGACCTCGAAAACTCAGAAGACGCAGTGAACATGGACAATGAGGAAATGCAGGGCGAAGAAGGCGAGCGGAAAGAAGGCGACGAGGAAGACAATGAAAGCGGCGACGAAGAGGAAGATGGCGACATTGACGAGGAAGTCGGCAGTGTTGATGATCTCGATGCTACGGCAGTTGATGAAAAGATGTGGGACGGTGAGCACGACGACAAGCAGAAGGAGACTGAGACCAATGAAGGCAAGGGTCAGGCCGAGTCTGACGAACAGACGGCGGCCGAGGAGAAGAAACAGGAGAAGGAGAAGGAGAAGGCCCAGGAAGGCGAGCAGGGTGAGGTGGACGAGAACGAGGAGGAAGAAGAAGATGAGGAAGGTGAAGATAAGCCTGATGATGAAGGCGAAGCCGTTGGACGTGAGGATATGGATGTGACCGATCCTCAGGCAAAGGAAGAAGAGGCCCTGGACCTTCCGGACGAGATGCAACTTGACGGCGAAGAAAAGGGTGAAGAAGAAAATGAGAGTGACGATGGCCTTGACGGCATGGATGACGATCTTCCCCCTCTTGAGGAGAACAATGAGCAGCAAATGGACGGCAAGGATGTTGGCGAGGATGAGGCCATGGAGGAAGGAGAAGGCGCCGAGGAACAAGAGCCCGAGCAGACGGAGGAGGGCATGCCCGACGAGGAGGCCGCCGAGACCAATGAAGGCGAGGGCAATGACGAGGCGGAAGAAGCCGGCGAGGAGGCTGAAGAGGAGAAAGAGGATTTCCTGGCTCAGCGCGACGAGAACGAGATGGCTGGAGAGGAAGTGGCTCCTAGTGAAGCGGTCAATGGTGGCCTTGGGGCTGATCAAGATCAGAACCAAGAGAAGGGCGCGTCTGGTAACGCACAGCAGGAGAACGGCTCAACTGATCCTTCCGATCAGAAGGAGCAGCAGACCGGTGCAGCCCAAGAGGGTGACGAGAACCAAAGGCACCAAGAAGAGGGTGGTGCGAATGATGCAAACCCAGACGACCCTCAACTGCAGGCTTTCAAAAAACTGGGTGACGTTCTCGAACAATGGCACCGCCGCCAGAAGGAGATCATGGAGTCCTCAAAACAAGAAGAGGGCGAGACTGAGGAGCCCATGCCCCAGGACGCAGACATGGCCGACGCTGACTTCGAACATCTCCGCGATCAAGACGACGTGGCAGACACCCAAGCTCTGGGTCAAGCCAGTGAAGAACAGGCGAAGGCTCTGGACCAGAACAAGGGAGTCGAGTCGGACGTCAAACCCGAAGGCAACGACGTGCTGCCGGATGTCACAGACGACGACCAACAGCAGCTCCCAGACAACAAGCTCGAAGATGAGATGCAGCTGGACCAGGGTCTTCCCTCCGAGTCACAGATGGCCGGTGCCATGATTCCTGGCAACACCCACACGCAGGAACGGACCACCGACGCTACCGGCCAACAAGAACTAAACGAGGAGCTCGATGAAGTCGACGCACATCTCGCTGCCATCCACCTCTCTTCCAACCTCCCTCCCTTGACCCCCCGCGACGAGGCCCAACGTCTCTGGTCCTACTACGAATCAGCCACCACCGATCTCTCCCTCTCCCTGACCGAACAACTCCGCCTTATCCTCGCCCCTACTCTGGCCACCAAACTCCGCGGCGACTTCCGCACCGGAAAGCGTCTCAACATCAAGCGCATCATCCCCTACATCGCCTCCCAATACAAGCGCGACAAGATCTGGATGCGCCGCTCCATCCCCTCGAAGCGCAACTACCAAATTATGCTCGCCGTCGACGACAGCAAGTCCATGCTCGAAAGCGGCAGCGGCCAACTCGCCTTCGAAACCCTCGCCCTAGTAGCCAAGAGTCTCAGCATGCTCGAAGCCGGCGATCTCTGCGTCCTCGGCTTCGGCAACGAAGACCACGTCCGCGTCGCCCACGAGTTCGGCAAGCCCTTCTCCTCCGAGGCCGGCACCCAAGTCTTCCAGCACTTCAGCTACCAGCAGACCGGCACAAACGTGCGCAAGCTCATCGCCGACTCCATCGCCCTCTTCCGCGAGGCCCGCTGGAAGCAGTCCCCCGGTAGTGGAAACGCGGACCTCTGGCAGCTGGAGCTGATTATCTCCGATGGTATCTGTGAAGACCATGAGACTATCCAGCGTCTGGTGCGCCAGGCGCAGGAGGAGCGCATTATGATTGTGTTTATCATTGTGGATGCTGTTAAGGGTAGCTCGATTCTGGATCTGAGTCAGGCGAGCTTTGAGGATGATGGTAGTGGAGAGATGAAGTTGAGGATGAAGAGATATCTAGAGGGTTTCCCGTTCCCTTATTACCTTGTTGTTAGGGATGTCAGGGAGTTACCGGCTGTTTTGGCCACGGCGTTGAAGCAATGGTTTGCTGAGGTGGTGGATGTGTCGTCTTAATTTATTGATTTCTGGTTCGTTTGTTTAGATAAAAAGTTAGCATGTTATAAGTAGTTCTTGTTAAGGTTTAGATGTATATACAGCCTTTAGTGTATCTAGAATATTTCATTTATTGCATATATTTCTTTATCTTCCCGGTTGTGATTGGTAGTTCCACCATCTCATGGGATTATTTGACTTTATCAACTACTATTCTAGTACCCAAAGCAGTACTACCATCAACAAACTCCACATTAACATTTCAAACAACAATCATAAACTCCATCCATGCAACCCCCACCCCACCAATAACTACACTACACTACATAACACTATACACACATCCAATACCCTATGAAAGTAATCACCACCCATACTTCGCCCCCGCCTCCCTCTTATTCCTCCTCCCAGCAGCAAAGCTCTCCTCCAGCGCCTCACGCTGCGTACTCGCCGCATTAACCAACTGCTGCAGCGTATGCTTACCCGGCGCAATCGCCCTAACAGGGTTATGTTGCTGCGCCGCCAGCTCCGTGTGCGCCAGCTCCTGGTTCGTGACGTACTCTTGGTCGGTGTTGAAGTGCAAGACGCGGGAACTGGCCGCCACGGATTCGGGTGCGTTGCGGCCGAAGAGTTGGCGTCGTTGGGCTTTCGAGAGGTTGAGGTCGTCGGCGATGGTGCTGAGTGTGTTGTCGGATGTAGTGGTTTGATATGTGGGTTGCTGTGCTGTGGTGGTATCTTCAGGCGCGGGGGAGGGTCCGGCGGGAGCGGAGTCGAGGGGGGTGTAGACTAGGGGTTCGTAGGTTGTTGCTGATGGTGCTGTTGATGTGGTGGTGGGTGTAGAGTTGTTGTCGTCGGCGGAGAGGGAGAAGAGGCTGATTTTGGGTTTTGGTGGTGGTGGTGCAGCAGCAGCAGCAGCAGCCGCAGGCGTAGGTGTAGATGTAGACGAAGCTGCCGTCGGCCCATCCTCCTTCCTCCGTACAGCCGCAGCAGCAGGCATGAGATCCGAAACAGCCTTCCTCTTCTTCTGCTGCGACGCCCTCCCCACAGACAACGGCTTGAACATCATCGGGTTACCCTTCAACTTGACCTCCTCTGGCTTCTTCATCTGCGGTACAACCTGCTCTCCTCCCACATTATTGTCCTCATTCCCGAAATCCAATTCCTGATCCCTCATACTTCCCGCCTTGGGTATCGTCTCATCTTCATCATTATTATTACCATTACCTAGGTTTCCAAACGCCCGCTCATTCCGCATCTCCGCGTCCGCCTCGCGATCGAACCCCGGCGCTGCGCCCGTCTTTAGACTGAATATCTTGCGCGCGGGCGCCTTTTTCTCTGTCGCGCTGTTGCTGGCGGTAGTAGTTGTGGTTTTCTTCGGCGCAGGTAGGAATGAATTGAAGCCGGAGAATGCACCGCCGCTGCCGCCTAGTTTGGGTTTCTTGCGCGGGCCATTGTCTTCGTCGACGTTGTGTTCGGGTTTGATGTCTGGTAATGCGACGCGGATTTTGCGGGGGTTGGTGCGGTCGACGAGTTTGTTGTTGTTGTTGTTGTTGTTGCTGTTGCTGGTGGTTGTGGTGGTGGTTGCGGTACTGGTGATGGGTTTCTTCGAGGCTTGTGGGGGTTGAGGGACGGTGGTTTCGGGCTCTGAGTCCGAGGCTTCGGAGTCGGAGTAGGCGACGAGGGCCATAGTGGGTAGGTAGATTTTGCGTCTGGTGGTGATGTGTGGTTGGGAGATTGGGAGGGAAGAAGGTGGATGGGTTGTGAGGCTTGGAGCTGCGGCGAAGTGATATTCTCGGGTTGGGCGAGATTGCGGATGAGTTATGTTTGGGATTAGTAAGCTATGCAGGGCTCGGTGCAGTGCGTTGACGCCACCCTCGATGGGGTTTGGGGTTTGTAAGAGCGGTGGAAGAAACTAGGGGGGCATTAGTCTCTTTAGTGACTATTCAGTAAATGACAACAGTACTATGAATAGGAAAGAATGGTCAAGAGCAATGACATCATCAACAATATAGAAATGTTCAAGATCAGATAAGATAAGATCGGCTTACTCAGGTCCGTCGAAATGTTGCGCCTTCCAATCAATCACTTTCTCTCCACCATCTACATCCTCATTCAATTACCATACACTCTTTCTTTTCCAGACAACCTTTAAACAACCGCTACACCCATCGCAATGCTCTAACAAACACTACATCAACCTCACAATAACCTGATTTCCCAACCCACATCACCCATACCACAAAAATGACCACCTCACCACCAGCACAACCCCCCGACACAACCAAAACCACAACCTCACCTACACCAGACACTACCACCACCACCAACGAGACCACCACCGCACACCCTCGCCCCACAAAATTCCGCTTCAAAGACCCCTCCCGAAAGCGCCATCGCCACCACCACTCCTCCCACTCCTCCCACAAAGACCACCAGCGCACCCCCTCCCCAAAACGCAGGAAACACCGCGCCCCGCACCGCCGCAAACACAACACCTCACCACCTCCCTCCCCATCACAGCCCACATCGCGCTTCTCTCCCAGCACCGCCTTCCGGGAATCCCTCTTCGACGCGCTGGGCGACGACGAAGGCGCCGCATACTGGGAGTCCGTCTACGGCCAACCGATCCACACATACTCGGTGCCGGAGGTGCCTAAGGGCCCGAATGGCGAGCTGGAGATGATGGACGAGGAGGAGTACGCGGCGTATGTGCGACGGAAGATGTGGGAGCGGACGAGGGAGGGGATGCTTGCTGAGGAGGAGAGGATGAGGGAGGAGAGGAGGAAGGTGAAAGAGAAGGAGAGGAGGAGGGAGAGGGAGAGGGGGAGTGGGAGAGGGCTGTGGAGGAGAGTTTGAGGAGGGGGAGGGAGAGGAAGAGGAGGAGAGGGTGGAGGGGGGTTTGGGGGAGGTATTGTGCTTGTTGGGGGGAGTTGGATGGGGTAGTTAGGGGTGGGGAGGATGGGGTGGGAAGTGAAGGGGGAAAGTTTGAGGAGGTGGTGTTTTGGCCGGTTGAAAGTGGGGAGAGGAGGGATGTGGGGAGGAAGGAGGTGGAGGAGTTTATGAGGGAGTGTGCGAGGGTGGTTGATGAGGAGGATATGGATAAAGATAGGGATAGGGATGGGGGTGGTGGGTTGCTGGGGCTGTTGAAGACGGAGAGGGTGCGGTGGCATCCGGATAAGATTCAGCATCGGTATGGCAAGCTGGGGATTGATGAACGGGTGTTGAAGAGTGTGACGGAGGTGTTTCAGATTGTGGATCAGATGTGGAATGAGGAGAGGAAGAAAGGAAACTAGTCGATGGGTTATTGAGGTTTATTATACCCATTCTGTTTTGGTGTATACTGTTTTGGTTGGCGTTTGTTATGATACCCTACTGTGTACTTTGTTTACTGGGTTGGTCGTCAACTTTTCGCGTTGCAAGGAAGCAAGCAGGCAAGCTCATAGATAGATACAACTGATATAACGCGACACGGCTATGCAAGGATAAATGACACATTTTCTGTTCTGTTTCTGGTTCTGTTTCTCTCTCAGGGCTCCTCATTCTGCCACATCTAGAACCGCGAGTAGCGGTGCTTGGTGCGGTACGCAGTGTACCCAACATAGCCTCCAACAACCACAGCGAAGAACAGAATAGTCTTGAACAGGAACCATCCCCAGCTGCCCTTCTGCTTACGGCGCTTGACACGACCAGTGTCACGGCCCTTGCCCGAGCGGGAACCGCTGCTGCTGCTGCCACCAACGCCGTACAAGTTCTGGGCCTTGACGGAGATGATGTCGTGGTTGTCGCTGAGCTCACCAGTCTCGGCGGAGAAGCCCAGGTAGGCGACAGAGGGAATGGCGATGTTGTACTCAGGAGCGGTCAGCTCGAAGCAGGGAATCCAGCTGTCCTCGGACTTGTACTGCAGGTCCAGGGTCAAGGACTTGTCCTGGAAGTAAGTCAAGCGGGCCTTGGTAGGGATGGAGGCACCACGGAGACCACGAGCCTATATCATAGTTAGATCAACATTCACACCACCGCTGCACACTACACTTACCGAACAGCCAGCCAATTCATTAGCCTTGCCATCGTGAGCCTGGTCGTAGGTAGTCTGGCCGTCGCCCATCATGGCCATGACGTAGGGGAACGAAGTGCCGGGACGGTTGTTCTTGTATGTATCGAAGAAGATACCCAGACCCTCGAAGTTGTCCGTCGAACCGAAAACAGGACCCTGGGTGGCGCGCTGCTTGGTGAGCCACATGGCGAAGCCATCGCCGTGCAAGTTGCCGGACCCTTCGATCTTGAATTCAACCTCGATCTGCCACATATCAGAATTGCCCTGAACCCATCGAAAGCGCATCAACTAACCTCCCAGTTGGTCGCGGTCAAAGGCACACGGGAGAAGATCCATCCCTGCTGCGACGGGCGATCGGACGTAAGACGGATGTATCTAGGAAGTCGTTCAGCATAAGCTCCCTCCCAATTTCCTTCTACCCACAAGCCAGGCGAACATACTTGTCGGCGCGAACTATCGTGTCACCACCAAAATCGAACCAGCGGCTTTGGAAGTCGGAATCCAAGTATGGCTGTGAAGACATTAATATGATGCGCGAGCTTAGCTGCAGCTATAAGCTACGTACCGGTGAAAGACTGTGCGTGCGAAGCTATCCCCGACAGTTAGCAGCTCATCCTATAAGCAGAAGTAGTAGCATACACACCGGAATGCTCTTAACATTGTCATCACCATCGTAGGCGCTGGCCAGAGGCACGCTGGCCAAGCCAGCCCAGCACAAAAGGGACGAAAGCCGCGGAAGTAGCATGATTGCCGAGTAACAAGCGCACAGTAGACCCTTAAGCAAGATTCAAGCCAAGCGACCGTGCAAGAAAGATAAGTGTAGGTGTGGTGAAAAGATAGACTGCAGCTAATAGAGTAGGCGATATCGTCAATTGTCACCGGGACATCAACAAAACCAAGGGTGAGCGGGGGATTTCAATTGAGTAAATAGAAGGAGTAGATCCGGGGAAATGGAGGTGTGAAGGAGGATAAATGAAAGAACGAACACCGGTAAAACTTAGTCAACGAGGAAGAGGAAGAAGAAGAAGCGGAGAGGAGGGGACAGATCAGAGATCGACGCAAGAAGAAGAAGAAGCCGAGTATAATATAACTTAGCTGGGCGATGGGAAGGAAGTGTAGAACTCCAAGTGTCCACATCGCCGGGGCGGTGGCGCAGCAACCTTACTTTCCTTTTTCCTGTGGCTCACTAGCCACACCTCCGTCGGAGCTCAAAAGATCTTGTCTCATCGACTGCTATATACTGCATACTACGTATTACATCCATTTACCATTTGCATTATCCCACACAACCACGACCCTAACATCTCTATACACACATTTACACATCACTTAATTTCACAATGGGTATCTTCGGCGGCTCTTCTTCCCCCTCCACCGACTCCTCCAGCAAGGAAGTCAAGGAGGCCCTTTTCAAGCAGGTCCAGGCCGAGTCCGCTATGAGCAACGCCCGCACTCTGATCTCCGTACGTTACATCCTTATCCAGGAGAATATAATTCAAGATATTGTGCTAACATACTTGTCTCCTCTAATAGAACGTCAACGAACACTGCTTCGAAGCGTGCGTTCCCAATCCCGGAACTTCCATGTCCGCCGGCGAACAGGCCTGCCTGACCGACTGCATGGAGAAGTACATTGCCTTCTGGAACACCGTTAGCCGCACATATACCCGTCGCGTGGGCACCGAGCAGAAGAGGATGCTTGCGCTGTGATTTGCTATCATATACGCTTCTTTTGATATCCGTGCTTGGTTGGGAGTGGTCCATTTCTCTACCATGTGTTTGGCCATGCTGTGATCCGATCTAGAGGTCTTTTTCATTGACTGGTGTGATATGAGGCAGTGGCCACTGGTGTGATGATATTTGTGTGTATATTATACGGAACGGACGGTTTTGGTTCGAGCTGCCGGTGGCGTTTGGAAAAGATAGAGCCTTGGATGGCAGGCTATGCTTATGATGACACTGTTGGGGGACCAGCGTCCAATTATCCAAGACTACTTTTATTGCAATGGTCAAATCAAATATGTACATTATACAACTGCCTCCACAGGGACAGGGAAAGGGATAAAAGGAAAGATGACATCAAGAATGACCCAGAGTAGCTCCCCAGTATTTGCACAATATGACTATAGAATAAGCAGGAGAAATGGAAGAAAGAAACGGGTGCCGTGGGTGACCAATTCACCAGTCAACGGTCGGCATAATCACGAGGACCCCCCCCCGAAGCTTCCAGCACAAACACCACCGCAAACACCCTCCTGCCTGGCATAACGCGAGGAAATATAGACAATGCCCACCTAGATAAAACCACCGGGGGATCATCCACTCATCAGATCTCCCCAGAACTAGTATAAGGGTAAGCTTATATGCAGACCACCAACGGTCCGGAAACCGGAAAAGCAAACAGACAAGACCATCACGTATACTTTGAAAGATGGTGAAAGGCATACGCTGAGGATGACAGAGCTCTTAAATGTATGCTCTACGTCAAAGGCAGCCAAAAAGCAAGTCGGCCAGCGATCAAAAACGAAGACAAACCGACGTCAAGGGGAAATCAACGAATGGTGAAGTGGATGCTACCATTGGTAGCGCGAGGGAAAGGGATTAGCGAGATAGTCCTGTCTCACAGGGCTCGCAGGATCATTGGATGGCACGATGCCATCTCGGTAACGAGACAATCATTCCATCATAACTCATAGCACACACTAAAAGTCTGGGAACAAATGGCCGTGTCTGAAGAAGAGACAAGTGAGTAATGTGTTCATCATAGAATGGAACGGATTAAGAAAAGAGCACATACGGGTCTTCACCAGCCATGCCATACTGTTCAGTTTCTTCCGGATAGCGGTCGTACTGACTCGCATCTCCTTGGCCACCGCGGATGGGAGGCACGTAAGGAGCATCGATATCCTTGCGGGCCAAACGGTCCCAGGTGACCTCGGCAAACCAAGGATGGTTCTTGACATCATTGGAGCCGCCATGGAGGTTTCCAAGGCGCTTGGTCAGATCAGCCGTGATGAGTTGCGACAGCAGGTCAACGGCGTCTGGGTGCAAGTAGGGCGGGTATTTTACCCTGCCACGCAGGATATTCTCGTAGATCTTGACCGGGGAGCCACTGTCCCAGAAAGGCGTGAAACCACAGAGCATCTCAAAGATCAAGATACCCAGGGACCACCTTCGACATTGTCAGTAAATGCGCCAAAGGGGCATGAACATCAATTAATGGCAACCCTTACCAGTCAACCGACTTGTTGTAGCCCTTGGAGGAGACCACCTCCGGGGCGAGATAATCGGGTGTACCACAAAGGGTCCATGTGATGTCAGGCACCTCTTTGGCAAAACCGAAGTCGGTGATCTTCAAATGGCCGTGTCGGTCTAGCAGCAAGTTCTCAGGCTTCAAATCCCGATAGATGATGTTCTGCGTGTGGAGGTACTCTAGGGCAAGAGTGACTTCCGCCGCATAGAACTTGGCGACGGGGTTGGGGAACCGCTACATGAAAAAGAGGTACCAGACATCAGCTTTACGTTGGTCGGGCGGGCCAAGTCAGAATTAACCCACCTGTGACTTGCGGAGTAGACTGAAGAGTTCACCACCCTCTACGAAGTCCATGACCATGTACAAGTTCCGGGAATCCTGCCATGTACCCCATAATGTGATTAGGAATGGATGCCTGACGCGGTTCAGCATGCGGCGCTCATCGTTAGTGTGCTCAATCTGTTTCATCTTGACCACCTGCGCCTTCTTCAACACCTTGACGGCATAGAAGCGGTGGTTATGTTTCGACTGCACCAAGTGCACGCGACCGAAGCTACCGGTACCGAGGGTGCGCTGAAGGGTGAAGTCATCCAGAGAGTATTTCCCTTTGGTGGTGCGGGCATCACTGCGAGCGGCGTGATGAGACTGCGCATGACCGCTGGAAGCCGAATGCATGGCGCCTTGCTGGGAGGGATGAATTATATTCTGTATACTAGCCGCATTGGCATTGGGCTGCGGGAGGCCAGAGGTATGATGGGCAGACGGCGAGGCTTGCGTCACAGCGGATTGCATGGAGGCTACCTGACCGTCGGAGGATTTTTCTGCACCCGAAGACCGATTGGGCTGTTGTTGAGGAACGGAATCTTGAGGCTGAGCGGGGGGGTTCGTAGAAGAGCCAGAATTGGTGGCGGGTTGGGGTTGATAGTGGTGGTGGAAGAGGTGGTGGTGGTGGTTGTGGTTGTGGTTGTGGTGGTCTTCGGCAGCGTTTG